TGATCAACCTTTTTATCATAAATTAATTACGCGTGCCATCCATATAATAAATCCCATCCCTCAAGAGAAAGAATATTTTTATTTATTAAGTTGAGCCAATCACTAATCAACGTTAAAGCCACCGCATCATAGTACAATTTTAAATTAGGTGCCTTCAATCCACCTCTTTCCCGTGTATCCTGCATAATTTTGAATTTAACTCTTGGCTTTTTCCCTGCCCAAATAAACTTATTAATCCCCTTCTGCCATTCCTCCAGGTTAGCATCTTTTTTTCAAAATAGGTATCATTTGAAATAGAAAAAGAAACTTTGGAAGTATATTCATTTTAACTGCCGAAATTCTTCCCAACAAAGATAATTGTAATTTTTTCCAATTATTTAAATCTTTTTGCACTTTTATCCATAATGTCTCATAGTTATTTTTATACAATTTAGCATTAGAAGCAGTTAAATAAACTCCTAAATATTTAACCTTTTTCACTATTTCAAAACCTAAAATGTTTTGAAATTTGAACATTTGTTAAAAATCAGATAGAACAGGTGCTATGGAAGGTGCTATGGAAAGTAGACACATATACTTCCTTCTAATCTTGAAACCTGTTTAAAAGTTAACATCGATTAATATTAATTCTAATTCAGCTGTAATGTTGTGGTGGGGAACAAGAGCTGCAGCAACTTATTTGGCTGATTTCTTAGACCAGGGGTGTTAAACCGCAGGCCCGCGGGCTGGTTTCATCATACCGGAACCGCGCCCACCCTATTGCCAGCAATGGCGAAAAAGCTCCGATATGCTGCGTGACGTCGTGAGTTTGACATGCCTGTCTTAGACATAGCTTAGGAGCTACAGCAAAGCACCTTATTTTATGGACTGCTATAGCAAAATAACAGAATGGGATTTCCATTTAATCTTGTAAAATGTTAACTATTTAACTTAATACTGATAATATTCATTATTAAGTAACCTATTGTGAAGCGCATTTCAGCTCTTAGAACGTTGTGGCTTTTATTTGGCAATTCTGATGAACTCTCTATAAAGACTGAATAGTTATGAAATATGTTTGAATTTAAGCAGGATTGAGCTTCTAAAAGTGAATTTATTTTACCTATAAAGACATTTTAACAAGTTAATTAACATTTTCAATAATTATTTAAAATGCCTAATGGCCAGATTTATGTGAAAACTTGTAATCTTTAAATATTACACCTAAAGTAAAACCATCTGTTATAAAAACCCAGTTTGTTTCATGTTGCCTTTTCTCCATCTGTTCCCAAGTCGTGAATAAAAACAAGGAACATCTTTAGTCACTTTTCAAAATAAATCTTATGACTGAAACATTATTCTTGCACAAATTTAAGTCAGATTAAACACAACTCCATTTCTTAAGTGAAAAGAAACTGAGAATTTATATAGCCAAAGGTTGTGTTCTAGTTATCTAAAGGACCAGATTTATTTAACCCTTAGGATATACCGCAATCACCTTATTTGTAGGTTGGGGCCAGGGAGATTTTGTAAGTCCAATTTTTTCAATCACTGTGCACCAACCAATGAATAACCTTGTAATAGACTTATACATAGCCCACTTTGATCCAAATACTCAATCGGCCCTTTAAAAATTATTTCAGGTTGCTTTTTCATTTCTAGTTCTGTTGACTTTTTAACTGTAGATATTATCTTAAATTCCTTAAACTATTATTTTTTTAAGGAAATGTTTATTTTGTTATGAACTATTTTGTTAAATGTTGTTTTAAATTACATTAACTAAAACAATTTCAATGGCTATAAAAGTCAACACAATCCTTTGCTGCATTAACTGAGGAACAGAATCAAAATCATGTGATGTGTTACTACCAGTTTCTAATGCTTTGGTAAGACCACGTTTGGAATAGTGTGTCCAGTTTTGATCACCACAATACAAAAATAGAATGAGTGTAGAGAAGACCAACAAAGATGATTAGGGGACTGGAGGCTAAAACATATGAAGAACAGTTGCAGGAATTGGATATGTCTAGTTCAGTGGTGGTGAACCTATGGCACGAGTGCCAGAGGCGGCACTCAGAGCCCTCTCTGTGGGCATGCGCGCCGTCGCCCCAGTCCTAGGCCTCCAGCTGGGTTTTAGAAAACCTTTTCGCTTTAGGCCTCTGCCACCGTGTACAAAAAAAAAAGGTTCAATCTATCAGTCAATTTCAACTTTTCGCAGGAAAAAAAAGATCTTGCAACGTTGGAATTGATTGAACTTTTTAGTCCCACCCAGTCTGCTGTTACCACTGCAGCCACTCCCACCCAATGTGCCACACCCATCCAATGCGCCACACCCACCTGGCACCCGACGATGCATAAGTGGGTTTTGGGTTGCAGTTTGGGCACTCGGTCTCTAAAAGGTTCGCCATCACTGGTGTAATTTAATGAAAATAAGGACTAAGGGTGACATGATAGCAGTGTTCCAATATTTAAGGGGCTGCCACAAAGAAGAGGGGATCAACTTATTCTCCAAAGCACCTGAAGACAGGACAAGAAACAATGGATGGAAACTAATCAAGGACAGAACCAATCTAGAAGAGAGAAATATCTTGACTGTTAGAACAATTAATCAGTGGAACAAATTATCTCCAAGAGTTGTGGGTATTCCAACCCTGGAGGTTTTTAAGAAGAAATTGGACAACTATTTGTCTAAAATGGTGCAGGGTTTCCTGCTTGAGTAGGAGGGTTGGACTAGAAGTCTTACAAGGTCCTTTCCAACTCTGTTATTCTGCTATAGTGGACATTCTCTTCATGGTATTCCTTTTCAAGATAAGAAATGTCTTGCTAAATGCAAGATAGGAGTATGATATCTATAAATGCGTTAAAACATGACGTAGGAAAAATAACTAAATCTACTTTCCTCCAACACCATTCACCTCACCTCTCCCAGACACCGCTAACTACTCTCACATCCTCCAATTCCATATGCTGTCTTTTCTTAATACTTACCACATATCTGTTTTTGAGATCTGGATCTTATCAACTCCACTCAAACTTTAAATAATGAGTCGATCTATTACAAATGGCAGCTATTTGTTCTAAAACATATATTAAACATCCATTCCAAACTTTAAAAAATCATTTACCTATTCATTACTAGACTATTCTAATTACTGAAAAGACATCTGCTACTAATTACAATAATACAGAAATTTTATAAAAACATATTTTCCATATCCAAAACTAACCTATGGGTTACATCTGATTATGCTTGCCTACAGTAACCATCCACTAACCTATACAATTCAAATTCTTGCTGTTCCATAAACTCACTATGATTCTTTTATTAGATATATTTTTAAAAAATGCTGCAAACATTTTTACTTGATAAAGCCATTTATAAAGCAAAAGTAGCCTGTGAAAATTGTAAGTTTATAATCTGTTTTGGCATATTAATGCATTATTTAAATTAAAAAACATATAAAATTATGAGCCATTAAATCCATGTCAGCTCTTAAGACTTCACATTTAAAATTAAAATTGTTTAACATCTTTGTTAAAAAGAAACTGGAATACTTTCATTTTTTTAATATTTCACTTCAAAGTATGACTACCCTCTCCAAACACTGCCTTATTACATGGTAACAAAAATACAGGACAGCTGGATTATCTGTCAGCATGTTTAGAAATTTCTTCTTGAAAACTCCCAAGAATATAATTTGCTGAATTTCATTAAAATTAAGGCATGTTGTTACAGAAGCTAAGTAAATATTTTAGTACTGACAAATGAATCCTTTATGAAAGATGTTTAAATTAAAACAGGCCTACACAATTTAATTCTGTGGAACTATTTCAAAGAATGGGAGCCCTTTAGCAATTACTACTGTTGAGACAAAACTCAACATGTTTCTAAAGGACAGATGTTCTGTTCAAAGTATAAGACTTCAGGCAAAATAGTTTCAGAGGCAGCACTGCTGTAAAGCTATCTGCATGTATTTTTCATGCATGCACTTTAAAATATGCATGACTATTTTTTTTATTCAAAAACCTGACCCAAACAATTTAGGATCCAATATGGTTAAATATCTAATTCAGAAAAATGCAGCATGTATAGAGGTAGGATTTAAAAAGTGTTTAAATACAGTGGTCTCAATTTCTAGAAATATTGTTTTAAGGAATAAACTTATCAGAAGAATTAGATAAAATAGCTTACTTGCAACAATTTCTCTAAAACAGTGACAAATAAAACTCACAGAGACAACATACCAAAATCCCACAATTTTTACCTTTGAAAAAGTAACAAACCCAATCACAAAGTCACACTGCTAAAACCAAAGGCTGTTCATTTTGGTGGAATAGCATGAAATAAAGCTGCTGAAAACTTTAAAAAACAAAAACGTTTGGAGCAGTATCAAAAGTACTCACCAACAGCTATGTTTTCTCTTCTAATTTGTTTTTGAAAGTTAAAAGAAAATCCTTGTAATATACTCAAGAAAATTACCAAACTGCTTAGTTCATAATACCAAAATTAAAAAGTCAGTGATGAGTTAAAAAATAAGGAATCAAAATAAAAACAAAGGTTTCTTCATCAACTGCTTAATACACTTATCCTGGCATTTCAATCATGGAGAAACTCTGCAAGTTGGTTACCGATTCTCTGAGGCAATTGCAGTAAAAAATTGCCACATTCTTCATTTCTGTATGGTTTTAAACTACAGATCAGAAAAACACTAGCAAACAGCAGCTTCACAAATGAAAGCTCTAAATTCTTCTTCTGCAGTAAAGTGAACCAAGTTTCGGAGCTCAAGAATTAATGACAGTGTTGCCAGCCAATCAGCTTCTATTTTTCAAGAAAATCATCCCTTAATACATTCAAAGTTAGGTCATCTGACACTGTTTGAAATACTACTGGCTTAGAAGAATCATAGTGCTTTAGCTTGGTTAGGTAAAGCGACACATGTATGCCTTCTTAGTAGGAAGACATCCCTTAATATATTATATGCTGTTGATATTTTTTTTTAAAGAAAAGAATACAGACTTACCAAGGCTTCCCAACTATTAAAGGGACGGACCTCTATTATTCTTTGAGCCTTTTTCTGAGAACATTGTGGAATTAAAGTGAGTTCACCAAGAGAAGCATCTTGAAGAAAACTAAGAATCTTAGCTTTATAACCATCTTCCATTACTTCATTACCACTGCTATAGTCCTCATCAAGGGAGCTACCGGCTTCTGAAGCAGATTCATATTGCAACTCCTGCGAGTCCTTTTTAGTACTCCAATTTTTTTTCTTTTTTTCCTTTCTCCTGAAGCCATTCTCAGAAGTTTTGGATGATTTCTCTTTCAGCCTCATTTTAGTATCATTCTGGTGGTCAGTGGCATTATTAACTGAGACACTCTTTCCATTTGAAACTTCACTCTTTGAAGGATGTTGTGCATCTGTATATGTAACATAAAAGGGCGCAGACAATTTGAAAAGTGAGGACAAAAGCAAAACCCAATAAATCTATCAGGAGTCTAAAAAAAAAGCACCATAAAGTTGCTTCTGTTCAAATTTAACAATGTTTTAGACTCAGTGCAGGTGCCTTGCCCAAGTTCACTCCTATTGAAATGATCTAAATCAGTCAGAGAACATTTCAGAACAATATTTGACACGATATCTGACAAAGCACTGCAAGAAGTAGCGCTAATTTGTGAAAATCCTTCTTGCATTGTGAGTATCACACTGCCAGTGAATGGATATTGAGAGGACATGTTATTTTTCTACTCTATAGCACAAAGTATCCTTACTTCACCACATTACTTCATTAAATAACTGCTTAATAGACATCATAGAAGAGTTTCACTCCTGGCAAAAGAACATGGGCAGAATACATGGAAGGATTTGAGAAATGTTCTTCATTCTTGAGTATTTCCCCATCTTGATGTTTAGCAGTAGTTAAGTCAATGGAGACTGACTGAATGGAATCCAGGAATATTTCTTTAAAAATGGGTCAAGTTTCCAGGCATCAAAACTCAATTTCTCCTTGAGAAGGCCTCTTCATTTAAATCAGTCACAAACGTCTACTTTAATGGCCTTTTGGGGACTCACAAAGCATGATTTCATTTGCCATACTTTTTGCCATCTATATAAAGCTGTGAGGCCATATCATACTGATTCTATCATTATGGTGAAAATATTTATCTTTCTATGTTATCAAATTCAAGCAAAGCTTTGCAGCTGCTGTACTAGTGCCTGGAGTCAGTACTGTGCTATAGGATAAACATAAATTAAATTCCGAAAGATAGAGAATATAGGTGGTCCTCATATCTAGAAACCGGATGAATATTCTCTTCAGGATGAGTTACCCTTCTGAAAAAGCATACTAAGACAGCTTTTCAATTAAAGCCCAGCTGAACTTGACAAGAATCCAGAGACAAAAATGATTTTACTATAGGGATTTTGTATGTATGTATGTAGTGTGTGTGTTTGCTCAATGTTCAAATGTTTTAAATATATCAGAAAGGGACAATGAACCTTCAACCTGAGGAGAGTATGTTAAAATGATAAAACAGCAGTATATTTGCTTACAAGCTTACTTCAAGATGCTGAGGCTTAACTTTAAAGCTCTAAATGGTTGGGACACAGTACATAAAATGCCAATTCTTCTTACACCAATTAATTCATGTTTAAAGGTTGTCAGAATATACCTTTCCACAAATTCTTTATAATAGTAAAACAGAAAGCTTCGTCCATAGTGACACCCAGTCTCATTTGGCTACATCCTATCATTAAATGGTGCTGATCCTGTTGTTTTAAGTCTGATTAAAATTTATTTGCATAAGGATTCTCCTCTCTTCATTTATTTGGTATATGTTTTTTACTATGATGTCTTATATTTTTATTGCATTTATTTTGCTTCTTAGATCTCTTATGTTAAGTCCTGATTTACTAAATTAAGCTAAATCCATACAGAATAATTTTAAAATCCCTTTCAAACCTTTTATTAGAAAAGGTTTGCATCTCACTGAATATGTAGGCAATAAGAAAGATGCATGCTTACGCAGTTAATGGTATGTACTAATTAAAATAAAAATATTTTTACCCTCTTGATCTTCCATAAATGATTTTAAAGAATCAAAAGCTTCTTGATATATCCAGTTATGTTCCTGAAGTACATCTCTCAGTTCCTAATTCACAAAATAAACAAATCTTGTATGGACACAGGATTAATAAACACATACAGAGATCTTGCTATCAAAATTGCACATATGCATCTAAAAAATAAGTGTAGTTTTATCAAGAATCTCAGTATTGAGAACTATAACCTTAATGTACAGTATGCTAAATCTACAAGTCTTTATATTTTATCTAATAATTAAGGCTGAGATTTCTACAGGCAGTACAAAAAAAGCAACAAACTAATCTAAAGGTGTCAACAGTTTTGCATGACTATCTCCCAATGATTATTTCATTTCACTTTTAGATACTAGATATCAATATTTCTAGACTACAGTTAATATAATTAGTATTCAAGCACTAGCATCCATCATGTGGCATGCAAAAAAAAAGTACATTAGTAGGTTTGGAGAAATTTTTAAAATGCACAGAAGACAGATAGACAGACAGTGTTACATTGCCAATGAATGGATATTGGGAGGACATGTTACTTTTCTACTCTGAAGCATGAAGTAGTCTTACTTCGCTACATTATTCCATTAAATAAATGCTTAGTAGAGATCATAGAAGAGTTTCAGTCCTGGCAAAAGAACATGGACAGAATACATGGAACAAGAGTAGCCTTGAAAATAACATAGCTTGGAATACGTTACATATCTTGTTGCAATTATTTGCTTTCTAAGTAATACACTAAAAATATACCCTAAATCAGTGGTTCTCAACCTGTGGGTCGGGACCCCATTTGGGGTCGAATGACCATTTCATGGGGGTCACCAAACAACGCAGTCCGCCATTTTTTTTCCCCTTTTCCTTAGCTGTGCTACTCCCTTTTATTCTATTGGCTTTTGAAAGCCAATAGAATACACTCTCTTGAATAGAATCTAATTCTATTGGCTTTCAAAAGCCAATAGGAATTGTCCAGGCTGTCTCTGCCCTGCTGAGCCCGCCAAAAATCCCATTCTGCAAACGGTGCTGCACCAGTTGAGTAGTCCTCGACTTACGACTGGTTGAGTAGTCCTCGACTTACGACCGTTTGGGGGGGTCGGGGCATTAAAAAGGTTGAGAACTACTGCCCTAAATCCAATATAATTTTAAAAGCACTATATTTTGAAACAAGTCTTAATTCATATGGATGTTTATACAATTAAAAGTCTCAATTTCAGTGAAACTTTCAATCCATCAGCTTTTATGACAGATTGAAAACTTGGTTAGGGAAGGATGGAATATCAGAAGCCTCTATTTACAGTTTAAACGTGCTCCAAGTTCCTAAAATTGTAAGCGACAGATAGACAGATATGCAATATCTTTAGTGGTGCTACAGCAGCAGTTAATATGGATCTATTTGTAATATCAGCATAAAACATATACTCTGTCAAGTATAATCATACCTCTTTATCCAAATTAGGAAATTCTTTATGAAATTTGTTTACTAGATTATCATGCTTTTTCCACTGGTTTTCAGGATTTTGCAACTATGGTTGAAAAAAAGATCAATTTTATTTTGCAATTCAGCTCTACCATTTAGATTACTAAATAAATACATGTACATTTATGCATTTTATAAAAGAATTAAAATAATTCTAGAAATATATAATACAAATACATATCATTTAATGAATAAAAAATCAGTGACCAGAAAACATATTTAGGTAAACTAGCACTGCTTAATGGATGGATCCACACATTATTTTTCTTAAAATTAAACTAGCACTTCAGATACTAATGTGAAATTAGGAAATTCCATTTTTTAACACAGAGAGAGGGGGGGGAGAGAGAGAGAGAGAGAGAGAGAGAGAGAGAGAGAGAGAGAGAGAGAGAGAGAGAGAGAGAGAGAGAGAGAGAGAGAGATACACCGACACCCATCTGTAATGGTAGCTTAATCAGAGTTATGACTACATCTTTTTTATCTACTTTCCACTGATTCATTGAAAAAAAGGTTTTATCAAAGACAGGTGTATGTAACCTATGGTCCCAGGACTTTTGGAACTGTCAAGGGTATTCCAAAATACCAAATTATATTTTAGAATGTAACAGGAGAAAATTCTAAAATAGATCCAGAGCAATCATATTACCTCCAGTTAAAATTAAATTAAATTTAAAATTAAATTAATTTTAAATCAGTTTTTTGTCCTGGCTCCACCTACTGCTTGATCCAGTTATTGCATTCCATGGCTGTCACTATCAAATACAGATCATGGTACAGAGAAATTGTGCAATCAGGCTCAGGACAATGTTTAACATTTAATGGCATAATCCAAGCAGCCACATCACCATTAACTGAGGAAATGAAATAGATGAAAAATATATTTAGGAGCACAGGAAGTGGAGCAAGATCCCTAATATATTAAGCCAGTATCATCAACAAAGACTTCTGGGTCTGAAGGAGGAATTTTTCCACTTCTGAATAGAGTTATCAGAAGCATAGTGAAGTTTACGATCTTTTGCTTTTGCTACTGAGTTCCATCCTTAGCTTGGCTTCTGGTATTTATAGAAAATATGACTAAATGCTCACAGGATCAAGTCTTTTCTTTTTTGCACTTTGGTCATCCTTATCTTCAGAATGATTCATCGCACCTTCATCAAGCTTCCTCTTTCGGGATTCTCCTTTTATAAGTAAAAAAGTATATTAAATTAATATTTGAAAAAGGACTTTCAGTCTAATATCTAAGTGATTATGGTTATTTGTATTATTTCATAAGAGCTGTGGTGGCACAGTGGTTAGAATGCAGTATTGCAGGCTGCTGGCTGCCAGCAGTTTGGCAGTTCCGAGTCTCACCAGCTCAGGGTTGACTCATCCTTCCAAAGTCGGTAAAATGAGGACACAGATTATTGGGGGCAATATGCTGGCTCTGTAAACCGCTTAGAGAGGGCTATAAAGCACTATGAAGCGGTTTATAATTCTAAGTGCTATTGCTAAGTGCTATTTCTATTTCAGGATATCAAAACAGTTAAATAATATAAATTCTAAATCTCATTTAATATGATATTGGAAATATTACATGGTAATAGTACCATTAGTTCAAATTAATCAAACAAATTAATTACGTTTATTTTACATTGTTTTATTTTCACAATGTACCGTCGTCTTTCGGAAAAAATGAACAATTTCTCCCCCTTTGACAAACAGGTGTTTAATAATTGATCTTAAAACTTGCCCATTTCAGAAAAAATGAACAACTTCTCCCCCTCTGACAAACAGGTGTTCAATAATTGATCTTAAAACTTGCCCATTGTTTACAGACTTGTTTATTCTTGCCTGACTCTTTGTACATACGAACACCCACTATAGTGTCTGTGTCAGTTACTATAAAAAAGATCTGAAATTTTAATGTAATGTTAAAACTGCTAAAAAGAACAGCAGCTGACGGCAATGGGGAAACAAAGAATCACATCAAAACAAAACAAAAAAAATCTTTGTGAAGGATTGTAAAGTTGAAATAGCATTTTGTTTAAAGTGTGTACAAGATTTCAACATAAGCAATTTTAATAGATTTTTGTACATGCAGTGTATTATAAATATATTTTAGTTTAAGGATAGGTTTATATGCATAAAATGATGTTAATTTGTTTGGTTTCTGTAAAAGGTTACATGCAGATTAGGAACTAACCACCTCTTTAGTATATTTAGCAATGAGTTTCTATTGATACTTAATTTTAATAGAAAAAGGTGCAGTACGATTCTCATAACATTGGGAAAAACAGTTTAAGAATACATGACGTTATATGTAAGAGAGCTGGTGCTATTTTGACTTTTTTCTTTCTATAAAAAAATTAGTATTTTATGTAAGTTTTTTGTTAATATTGATGTCAGTAAGTCTATATAAGTTGAAGAATAATAGATAAGATGGTATGATGAAATAGTTATATCAAACATGCAAATTACAAAAAATATGAAAATAAAAAATAGCTGTATACCTTCATCAAGCAATTTTAAACCAGCAGCTATAGCTTCATCCATTGTATTTGTTGATTCTATGAGCTACAGGAAGAAAATGAGAAAAATATTTCTTTTCTAAATTAAAATTACTATTACTTTAAAAGTTTATTATGAAATCCTATGTATTTGGAAATGCAATGAGCCATTTTAAAACAGAATTTGTGGAAAAATATAATAAAGCATAAGTACTTTAATAACTACTTTTAAAAAAGTCTCCAGTGAGGCTTTTAAGCAACCAGTAAGCCATTTCACTGTTCAATTGTTCTCACTGAAATTTCTTAGATTTCTCTTAGATTAGTCCTTCTTTTCACTAGACTAGACATACCCAATTCCTGAAACCATTCTTCCTATGTTTTAGCCTCCAACCTGCTAATCATCCAGCCCTCTAATCTTGCTCTTTTATGCACTCTTTCCACAGGATCTACTTCTTTTTCATAATATAGTGACAAAAACTGCATGCAGTATTCTAAGTGTGGTCTTGCTAAGATTTTATGAAGTGGTATTAATACTTCATGTGATACTGATTCTACCCTCTGCTAATGCAACCTAGGATTGTGTTGGCTTTTTTAGCTGTTGCCACATACTGCTGTCTCATATTTAAGTGATTGTTCACTAGGACACCAAGATCCCTCTCACAGAATAAAGTTTCATTTACTTTATGAGTAAATTTTATAGTAACTGTTGTAGAGATTTGTTTATATGACTTAATTTAAGGGGAGTTAAAGGTTAAGTATGATGTTTTTTTTTCTTTTTTCTTTCTTCTTTTTTTTATTATTGTTAACTTTTTATTAATAACCCTGTACTCTACTCTGGGAAGCGAGGGGGGGAGGGTTGAGGGTGGGTGGGTAATGATAATATAGTCATGGTAAATGCTTGGGCATTTCCCCTATGCTGCGTTCATGTGTGTGAGAGGGATGAGAGGGGAGGAAGGAGCAGGGAGGAAGTAGGATGGTTAGAGGAGAAGGGGAGGGGAAGAGAGTAGGGGGGGAGGAGAGAAAGAGGAGAGACAAAAAAAAAAAAAAAAGATCCCTCTCACAGTTGATTTTTCTTGCCTAAATATAAAACCTTACTTTTCTCTACACCGAATTTCATTTTGTTAGATAAGACCCAGTGTTCAAGCCTATTGAGATCCATCTGGATCTTGAGTCTATAGTCTAGGGTGTTGGCTATTCATGCCAGTTTAATGTTCTCTGCAAACTGGATGAGTTTCCTTTCTATTCCTTCATCTAAATTATTTATGAAAATGTTGAAGAGTACTGGGCCTAAAACAGAATATTGGGGTACCCCACTGCTTCCTTCCTTCTTTCCATCTAGATATAGTTCATTGAGGACTACTTATTGAGTACGATTTGTCAGCCATTTACAAATCCGTCTGGTGGTGATGTTGTCTATCCCACATTTTTTAAGCCTACCAAGTAGGTTGGGGTCTACTAAATTTGTGGCTTAGTGTAAAGAATGAATTTCTTGGTTTCTCGATCTGTTACCCAGCAAATAACTTTAGTTTCTCACTCTTTTCTAGTACCATAACTTAAATTTCCACACAGGATCTCCAAATGGCATAGTTAAAGAATATACTGTATATATGTGTGTGTGAGAGAGAGACTGAATACATCACTGTTATCCTCTTTCTAATACAGGCAGTCCTCAACTTACAACCATTCATCTAGTGACTACCTATATTCTGATTAAGGCTGTTGAAATACAGGGAAAGAAGACAAGAAATCTCTGAAAAAGATTTATCTTCAAACATTCAAGATATGTATATGGAGATTTCCTGATAATTATATTATAATACTGTACCTTTAATAATTCTTGGTCACTTTTTTGTGGAAAAAGTTCTTTTAGTGTTTGGAATTTACAGTAATTCAGATCCTCCTCCTCCGTGTCATCTGACATTTCAGCTGGACCATTTTTATGGAGAGACTGTGATGATTCATTCTCACTTTCGTCATCAGAAGGTTCAGAACTGTAAATATGGATATAAATTATTATGACAATTTTACTGTAGAATAAAAAATTACATGATAAAATACATTAAAAAGACATTAGGCAACAAAGGTTAGACATTAGAAGATAATAGTTAAATTTTAGCCCCATTAAAAATGGTATTAAAAATAGGAACAATTTTTATTTTTTTTAATCTAAGAAAAATTTTTGCATTCTTTTTACAATGTTTTAGCTGATATAGTAACTTTTTTTTTTTTTAGCTCAGAATTTTAGATCCTGGGATGCAGCCTGTTCGGAACGGGCCATTTAAGTGGCGGTGAGCAGGCATACGCATGCAGCTCCACTTGCACGAGAGATGAGCGCTCATGCACACAGTCCAATATATCAGAAAGAATATTTGAACTTTAATAATAGAAACTTTTGTAGAAAGATCTGATATGGATTAACGATAGTATTCTACATAATGTATCTTGTCATATTAGCATCTCCTTGACAACTTTCACAATGTTACTATTTAAAAACAACCTTATCATGAATTTCTGTATTTAATTCAGGGCTATATCCATTAAGTTCACAAAAATTCCTGATTTGCCACCTTATTACTTTTATGCTGAAATTTTTATACTGCATCATAGGAAACCTGAACATAAAATCCTAAAGATTCCAAATTGTTAATTTTAAAATAAGCAATTAATCTGAAAGAAGTTGTAAAGACTTACATTATAATAACATCCCTTCTAGAAACCAAGGATTGCTTTGTATTGCTGTATTTCACTCTTACTTCTTCATCTTCACTTTCAGATGACAATTCAATAACATCTTTCCTAAATTTAAAATACTTTGATTGTACTGTCCTCTTAGCTTCAGGAGTTTCTGGAATACTGGAGTCATCTTTGGAAGCAGAATGAATGATACAAAATATACATTATTCATAAACAGAATTAAAATGCTTTTTGTAACTAAGTTGTATTTTGTGATACAATGATAAATAAAAATTCTTAAATCAATGATGGCAATATGTACACACACATTTGATATGTTCCCTGAAGCATAGTGAAAGTTTATTGAGAAACTGTAATAGGAACATATGGCTAGAAAGATGGAAATCAAGAAAGAACTTATAACTTGAAGTGCATTGGACTCAATAAAACATAACTTACAGATACAGGCTACGTTTCATTAGAGTTCCAATGAAACATGTGCTTTCTCAAAATTGTCTGGTTTATATAACCATCACTCAGTCTGATTCAAGAATATTTTATTTTCAAGTTTGGAATATTTGTACGAAAGCATTCAATAAATTCAGAATGGATTATAAACAGACATCTCTTGAACAATAAAAACACTTTTTTAAAGATTAAGAAAATTTATAAATAAAACTAATTGTTTTAAGATTTTGACTAATAATGTGATCTATGAGGTCAAGGAAGTGGAAACCTTTGTTTAAAGAAATCTATATGCACAACAAGCTGCATTTAGAAGAGGTTGAATGCCACTTAATTTGGCAAAATCACTTCCTAACAAAAACTCCATCTTACCTGAATTGAGACTTATCTAATCTTTATGTATGTACAATCATTATATTGAACATATTCTGAAATCAGAGACAGGCAATCTGATGTCCATCATTCATTTTGCATTAAATTTTCCTATCAGTCTGGTACAGAGAGAAAAAAGGGGCGTCGTCTTACCTGAACGCCTTTTCTCAGCATGATGATGGATAATCCATGGATTGGGTTTCCTGAAGTCCCTTCTACCAAATTAGACTAAGTCTGAGAGATAGCCACGCCTCTTGCTGGGTCATCTTTACCCAGTTCCGATAAAGGCGAAGCAAACAGACAAAGTCAGACGCATTGGTTTCCAGACTCCTGTCACAGTGCCCAGTAATCACTAAAGGGCGGGAGTGGATTATCCATCATCATACTGAGAAAAGGCGTTCAGGTAAGACAACACCCCTTCTCCAGCATGAGGATGGATAATCCACAGATTGGGACATACCAAAGCCTGCCTGTCCCGGGGAGTGGGGGGGTAACAGACATGGCCTGTGATGCAGGAGACAACACAACCCTTTGTAACACTCTATGGCCAAAGGTAGCGTCAGCAGAAGCAAATCTATCAATTTTATAGTGACGGATAAATGGGGAAGACAACGACCAGGTCGCCGCCCTACAGATGTCGCCAATGGGTGCCTGAGTGGCCCAGGCCGCAGAGGTGGCCGCACTACGAGTAGAGTGAGCCATGATATGTGAAGGAATGGCTAAAGACTGTGACTGGTATGCCCTGGCAATACCAGCCTTAATTCACCTGGCAATAGTGGAAGAAGAGACCTTGAGACCCATAGAGGCAGGATTGAAGAAGAGGAAAAGTGCCTCAGACCTACGGAAAGAAGCGGTTCTCTTAAGATAAATGTGTAACGCCCTGCGAACATCCAAGGTGTGCCATCTGCGTTCCAGGTCACAAGAAGGACTAGGGCAGAAACTCAGCAACATCACCTCCTGTGACCGGTGAAACAAAGAGTTCACCTTAGGAATGAAAGTGAGGTCTAAACGCAGGATCATGCAATCGGGGTGAAACAGGCAGAGATCCTCTCTGATCGAGAGGGCTGCCAATTCAGATAGGTGCCTGGCTGAGGTCACTGCCACTAGAAAAGCCACTTTCATAAATAAGAGATTGAGATCACAGGAATGAAGTGGTTCGAAAGGCGACCCGGTAAGGACCTGCAAAACCACCGAAAGATCCCAATAGGGGTACCGATGAAACATTGGTAGTCTAGTATTAATCGCTCCCTTTATGAAAGAACGGATCACCGAATGGTGGGTAAGTGAGGAAGAGTCGTCACAAGAAAGAACTGTGGCCAGAACTGCAACCTGTCTCCTGATAGTACTAGGAGACAGACCCTTATCCATCCTGTCCAGCAAAAACTGTAGAACCTGAGGCACCGTGAGAGATGACAACTGGACGTGATGCTTGGACATCCAAGACACAAAACTCTTCCAAGTAGAGTTATAAACTCTATTAGTTGACGGGCGTCTAGACGCCTGGATCATATCAATGACCCTTGGAGGATAAGCTTCCTCAGTCAGACATCTCCGTTCAAGCGCCATACGGTTAACTGTAGCCATTGAGGGTCGGGGTGCTGGAGCGCTCCTTGACTGAGTGCTATTCAGTCCGGGGGTATCTTCCATGGAACAGATACTGACAGGCTCATGAGATCGGCGAACCACGGGAGCCTTGGCCAAAGAGGGGCTATGAGGACAACCTCCGCCTTCTCTTGCAGAATCTTGAGGATGACAACAGGAAGTACAGGGAGCGGAGGAAAAGCGTAAAGAAGGCCCCAGGGTCACGGGATGCGCAGAGCATCTACTCCCTCCGACCCCTGGGACAGAAAGCGGGAGAAAAACCTTGTTAGTTGGGAATTCGCTGCCGAGGCGAATAAATCCAGAACCGGGTGGCCCACCCTGTGAGATATTGCTAGGAACAGTGCTGGATCCAGTCGCCACTCTGAATGATCCACCGTCACCCTGCTGAGAGCATCCGCCTGCTGGTTGATTGCCCCTGAGATGTGATCCTCCTTGATCGAAGACAGATTGGCCTCTGCCCAAGAGCAGAGCAGTCTAGCTTCCGTCATCAGAGAACTCAACCTGGTGCCCCCTTGATGGTTCACATGGGCTTTGGCTGCTATGTTGTCCGTGAGGATGAGAACGTGCTGGCCTCTCACCTTGTGACTGAAATGACACAACGCCAGGTGAATTGCCCTGAGTTCCAGCCAATTTATATTGTGTTTCAAATCCTCCTTGGACCACCTCCCATGGGCTATCCGAGATTGGAGGTGAGTCCCCCAACCGAAGAGACTGGCGTCTGTGGTGACCACGATCCGTGACGGCTCTCTGAACTTCGAGCCTTTGTTGATGGCCCGAGAACTCCACCATTGGAGTGAACTCGATACCAGAGGAGTCAACCTCACCTGCCTGTTGGAGGATGTTAACTTTTGCCTCTGAAAAGGGAGGAGGAACCACTGAAGGGCTCTCGAATGTAGTCTGGTCCAAGGTACGATGGCGATGCAAGAGATCATCTTGCCTAAGAGCTGGGAGAGAGTGAGAAGCGGAACTGTCCTGGAGCATTGCACCTGGCGGACAAGGGCCCTGAGACTGGCTATGTGATCTGGCGACAGGTAGACCATGCAGTGTGTTGTATCTATCACTGCTCCCAGATGAAGGAGCCGCGTGAATGGAATCAGTTGGCTTTTGAGAAAATTCACCAAGAATCCGTGATTCTGGAGCACCTCTATTGTACGGACCACCTATCACTGCGCAGCCTGGACCGACACTGATTGGATGAGGATGTTGTCCAGGTAACACTGGATCCGAATGGAATCCAGTCTGAGGTGAGTTGCCAGAACCAGCAAGATCTTCGTGAATACCCTCGGGGCGGATGAAAGGCCAAACAGAAGCGCTCTGTATTGATAGTGATAAGATCTGTTGCAGAATCTGAGAAAGCTGCGATGTGGTGGAAATATTGGGATATGTAGGTACGCCTCTGTGAGGTCGATGGACGTCAGGAGGTCGTTCCTTCTTATGCTGGCCAAAATAGATTGCAGGGTCTGCATTTTGAATTTTTTGTATACCAGGTACGAATTTAACCTTTTTAGATCCAGAATGGCCCTCCATCCTCCCGAGGTCTTTGGAATTATAAAGAGGATTGAGTAAAACCCTCGCCCCCTCTGATCGGGAGGGACTGGTTCTATCGCTTTTATTTCGATGAGATGGGAAATGGCCTCCTTCATGAGGACCCGTTTTGACGGGTTTGAAGGTGTCGGACAAGAAATGAATCGGTTTGCCGGTTTTGAAAGAAACTCTAAGGTCAGGCTCTTAGTGACGGTGGACAAGACCCAGGCATCGGTGGTAATGTTCCCCCAGTTCTGAGAGAACAGGGAGAGCTGACCGCCTATGGGGGGGTCCCGACCGCCTATGGGGGGGTCCCTTCCTGGAGTCACTTATTCCTCTGATAGGGACGGCCCCCCACGCCCTGAAAGGGCCGCTTAGACTGCTGTTGTTGTTGCCTGGACTGGGGGGCAAAATGTTCCGTTTGACAATCCGATCAGGGAGGAAATGAACATGTGGGTTGTGACCAGTTAGAACCCTGGGTGTTGCCCTGGAATCCGTCTGTGATAAAAGGGAGCAGACTTTCTGTCCGATCGCCTGGTCTGGTGAGCAAGTACCTTTTTCTTATCCTTGTTTTCTATCAAGTATAGCTCCAGGGCTTCCCCAAACAATTTTTTGCCTGAGTAAGGCGCGATGGCCAAGCGCCCTTTGGATTTTAAATCCACCCACCATTGTTTCAGCCGCCTGGTAGAAACATTGGCTGCTATCGCCCTGGCTGAAAATCTGGCGGCATGTAACGTGGCATCAGCCATGTATTCCACCACTGCTAATAACTTACCTAACGTTTCATGGGCGTATACCTGATCCTGCGGGATAATGCCCTGAAGCTCCCGGAGCCAAGTGATAGAAGATAGTGAGGCTGACGTGGAAGCCTTTACTGCCCACCCTGATGCTTGATGCGCCCTTCGTAGTGCATACTCAGATTTCCTCTACTCTGGTTTTAATGCCTCCGCCATATCTCCAGTGATAGTGGAGTTTGAAAAAATGGGAGTAAGGGATTACTTACTCCACAGTCGGGACTCCAGAAGGTTGGTTAAGGATGGCGCCACGCTAAACAGCTTTTTGTCAGAGGACCCTGGAACAGGAGAGGCCCCAAGATTGGTCCACTGTTTCCTTATTGTGTTGGCAAAGAATGGAGGACAAGGAATATGTCTTTGAGTCACTGTGGGCTTAGCAAACAAAGGATCTGAAGACTGACTGGTGGAAGGGGTGGGTTGTGGATCTGGCTCT